CCTGATCTTCAGTCCATGAACAAAATACAGCTTTTTCCACCTCTTTAGTTGAAATATGGGTGCCAAAATTGTACATCCACAATTGCCTCAAATAGAAGGCTTTAGATGTGCTTAGCAGAGGCAGTGGCATGGTCTGCTGCAAGTCCATTGTCATATAAGCCAAATTATATGAACCTTTGACTTTCTCTCTATTAGTTTTCAGGGCATCATATGCTTCATGATAATTTGCAACATGTTCTTCATTCGATTCACCAGCATCGCAAATACTGCAGGTGTCGCTTTTAGGGTAGCCAAATGACAGATTAAAATCTGAAACAAACACATTTCGGTATGTACAGTCTTTGACATGAAATGTGTGAGCAACGTTATCAAGTACACATTTTTCTATGTACAGTTGGTGCATTTTTTTTATAGATAACGAAGGAGAGAGGTATTTTTTTAATTTTAGTCCGCGAGTAGTGTGACTCCTCTGCTGGAACTGCTGCGATATGCTGCTTTATATACTCTCTGACACGATCGTCAATCTTATGAGGTCTGTTGTTATGCTGACCTCTTTTATCTGGATAGGGTGCAGATAAGCCCGATTTTATAGACTTTTGATGTAAATCAATTTTTTCTTGCCTATGCAGAATAAATTAGCAAATGCGTTCTTGCAAACAAAGGTCTGTTGTCCTTCAAATGTTATAATATATTTATATGATGCTGATTTATGTTTCGTGGCATCCTTTCTCCTACGTTTTACAGGATATATCCTGATAGAACCAAACAATAATGCATTCTTTGCATTAACGTCCAGCTTGTAATATTGAGAAAAAATAGCCTCTCGGTGAACAAGAGTAAACTTTTCACTACACTTTAATTTGCATTTTTGTGGACACAAATCCCCAGTTGAGAATGACTTTGCTTGTACAGCTTGTCCTTTGTAATTAATAAATGCCTCTGCTTTTTATCTAGCAATTGATGCCTTACGTCTAACCCACTCTTCAGGATGTCGTATCCGTTTTCTTGAAATTTTTAGCTTAGGCGCGAAGTATTTCTTTTTTTAGATGTTCGGTCTAACAGCTGCTGTTCTTGGCTTAAGGTGTTGGCATGAGTTGTTACTCTATTCTCACATATGTTTTCATCCTCGTCGCGGCACAAAAAAATTGTTGGGTTGAAGTTATGAAACAGGTTCTCGGTCAGAATCGCTCATATCTTCATAATCAGGTTGGTATTCATCACTTGAGTGATCACCGAACAGGCAGTTGACCTCACCTTCACTATCAGTTCCAGATACTGAAAAGCAAAAATGAGATGAGATATCTTTTATAACTAAAAACCATCGTTGGGGCATAATAGTATACCTTAGGATTGAAATCGTAGTAATTTTACCTAGGAAAATACTGGTTTAATGAAATCACTACTCAAGAAAACAACAATAAATCATTTTCAAATCGAGTTTTAGGTTAAGCAGCTAATATTTACAAAAAAAAAATAATAATTATAATAAATAATAATAATAATAATAATAATAATAATAATAATAATAATTACAATAGTTCCTTTTTCTAGAGTACGTTTATCCAAGTTGAACAAACCGGATGTCACATTGTACAATTTATTTGTGAACTGTTACGCAGAAGATGACGTGAAAAATATGAATGTCTACAAATTCAGTAGACTAGTGAAGAACTTTCTCATAGACAAGTGTTTTTACAGTGTCGATGATTATATTAAGTTTGTATCTATATTTATAAGGCAAAAATCTGTGACTTCAAATGTACAATATGTATGTAATGTAGTCAATAAACTAAACTAAACTATTAATTATTAATAATTAATTATAATAATAATGATAATAATAATTATATAATAAATGATAATATATAATAATAATAATTATATATAATAATAATAATAATAATCATAATAATAATACCATCATATCATTATCTTAAGTGTTTTTACAGTGTCGATGATTATATTAAGTTTGTATCTATATTTACATGTATAAGGCAAAAATCTGTGACTTCAAATGTACAATAATGTATGTAATGTAGTCAATAAACTAAACTAAACTATTAATTATAATAATAATAATTACAAGAACTATAATAATAATAATAATAATAATAATAATAATAATTATAATAATAATGATAATAATAATAATAATATTATAATAATAATAATTAATAATAATAATAATAATTATAATAAAAAAGTGTTAACCACAACGAGAACGCAAAGTGGCTGAAAAAGGTAGAAAGGGATAGAGCCACAACAATGAGCTGGCAAAATATCAGTGTCGTGGAAGTCAGATCAGCACTACAGCAGGCCCAAAATTGGAAAGCCCCTGGTATAGACCAGATACCTAATTTCTGGCTGAAACATCTAGTGTCACACACGAAACAATAACAATGATATATAATAGTTACCTCGATAACGGAACAGATATCCCGAACTGGCTACCAAAGGGTAAAACATACCTCCTTCCAAAGTCTGGAGATAGTAAGGACCCCAAGAATTATAGGCCTATCACCTGTCTGAACACGTTGTACAAATTGTTAACTAAGGTAGTAGCCAGCAGAATATCTGATTATGTAAATGATAATAAGATAATACCAACAGAACAAAAAGGCTGTGGCAAGGGCTCTCTTGGTTGCAAGGATCAGCTACTCCTCTCGAAAGCCATTGTAGAAGATTGTAAAGAGAACAAAAAAAATCTTAACATTGGATGGATTGACTATAGAAAGGCATTCGACAGCGTCCCGCACAGCTGGCTCCTGAAATCTCTGAAGCTTATAGGAACATCTGAGAAGATCATTGATCTGTGTAAGCGATTGATTCCGCTATGGAGTACTACCCTGTTAGTCAGTAATAATGGGGAAGAAATAGAGTTAGGACCCATACAGATAAAAAGAGGTATATATCAAGGTGATACCTTGTCACCTCTTCTGTTTGTGATTGCGATGGTTCCTTTAAGTACGCTACTCAACGAGGCCAACCTAGGTTACCAACTTAAAGGAGCAAATGATTGTCTCTCCCATTTGCTATATATGGATGACCTGAAGCTCATATCTCCCAGCCAAAACAAACTGAAAACGTCTATCAATATTGTAAAAAAATTTAGCGACGACATACAGATGAGCTTCGGTCTCGATAAGTGCGCTGTAGTCACATTCAGGAGAGGAATGCACTATGACTCTGCTAATATAATGGTTGATGAAGGAGAGTCGATCAAATCACTAGAGCATGGCGGAGTGTACAAGTACCTGGGAATTAAAGAAGGCTCACACATCACCCACGATTCACTGAAAGTTGACATTAGACATGAGTATATAACGAGAGTACGTAAAATTCTGCAAACTCAACTCACGTCTAGAAACAAGATAACAGCAATTGGAGCTCTTGCCATACCAATCATGCAGTACAGCTTTGGTATAATCAATTGGACATTGGATGACATAAGACAAATGGATCGCAAAACAAGAAAACTAATGACAACACATAATATCCTTCATCCCAAAGCAGACATCGACAGATTATACGTGCCACGAAAGAAAGGGGGACGAGGACTAAAGCAAATAGAAGAAACGTACAACAATACTATCTTCTCAATAGGGCAATATATTCAAACTAGATCTGAGCAAGACCGCCTACTACAGATGTTACTAGCACATGACAATAGGAAACCAACAAATAGATCTATTGTAAAGCGTAGTAATAAGATCAAATTAGAAGCTGCGGAAACCGGACATACGGTCGAGCGAGGTAACAGGTCCATCAACTGTACTTGAAGCAATGTGTCGAAGAGAAATGGCGGAGTAAGCCTCTACACGGACAGCATATCCGTCAAATGGAGGAGCTTCCGGTTGACTTAAAACTGTCATTTGGATGGTTACAATACGGAGATTTAAAAGGGGAAACCGAAAGCTTGCTGGTGGCAGCACAAGACCAAGCCTTGAAAACGCGTTACATTGAGCAAGCAATACACAAGACGAGGAATGACGGTAAATGCAGATTGTGTCACATTCATAATGAAACTGTTGAACATATAATATCTGCATGTCCAATACTAGCGCCAAAAGAATATACTGACAGGCACAATAATGTCTGCGCAGCCATCCATCTAGAAGCGTCTCGCCACCTTGGTTGTCCAATAAAATCGACGAAATGGTATGAGCATCACCCACGACAGGATAACACGAAGTGAAGATGGTAGTATCACAATAATGTATGACCATCCCGTTATCACGGATAGAGAAATAAAAGCAAACAGACCAGATATTGTTATAAAAACCACCGAAATATGCTATATAATTGATATATCGGTACCTGCAGATAGACATGTCATACAAAAGGAGGCTGAAAAGCAACTAAAATACAAATCATTACTCATAGAAGTGCAAAGAATGTGGCATACAAAGGCAGTTGTTATTCCCGTAGTGATTGGTTCAACTGGATATGTCACTCGCAACATCCTAGATAACCTAAAAAGGATACCAGGAGATCATAATTTCTATCAGTTACAGAAGATCGCCTTATTAGGCACATCGCACATAATTAGGAAAGTTATAACATAGCCAGCTCATAAACTGCAATGATCTGTACCCCTCAGGTCCTCGGCGAGGACCCGGTGTAGAGGTCAAACCGTTCCATATAGGATACCGCTACTAATAGAAAACGGTCCTGTAGCGTGAAAAAAAAAAATAATAATAATAATAATTATAATTATAATAATAATAATAATAATAATAATAATAATCAATAATAATACTTCGGTCCTTACCTACGCGTTTGGCATACTGAACTGGACGGATACAGAACTGAACGCACTTAATGTGAAAACCAGAAAAGAATTTCGTAAACACCGGGGACACCACCCACATAGTTCCATAGAGCGGTTCCATCTACCACGAAGTGAGGGCGATAGAGGAATACCTTGCATACCTACACTACACCACCGCCGAGTGGACAATCTACGCCAGTACTTCCTCCAAAAAGCCACATCCAGCAGAATGCATCAAGCAATAACACAGACGGATAAAAAGTTGACACCACTAAACCTTTCAGAAACATCTTTAAACCCTGAGGCAAAGATAACCCCAATGCAGGATCTGGTTGGCCAATGGAAAGCCAAACCACTACATGGTCGGTATAGGAGCCGCATAGACGACAACGCCATTGACACGAAGGCTTCCCAAGGATGGTTGCAGTCAGGTAATCTGTTCCTGGAGACGGAGGGCTTCATAGCCTCCATCCAGGATCAGGTAGTCCCAACAAAGTTGTACCGAAAGCGTATAAAGCATGAGAACGTTGAAGATATCAGATGCAGCATATGTGGGGAAAAAGATGAGCACATAGATGATATTGTAGCAGGCTGATCTCCCTTAGCTCCTAAACAATATCTTGAAAGACACAATGATGTGGCCAAAATACTTTATCAAGCTTTGGCTAAAAAGCATCTAGGAGAAACTGGTACACAGCCCTACTATAAATACACGCCGCCACCTGTGATAGAAACGGAGACCTCTAGGCTGTACTGGAACCGTAAAATCATAACTGACAGGCCCCCAACATATTCCTAACATAGTGCTCACACTAAAAGAAGAAAGAACGACGTTTATAATAGACATAGCTGTGCCTCTTCCTACTAATATCCAAACCACCCATGAGGAAAAGATCAATAAGTATTTGCCACTCTCCGACGAAATAAAACGCATGTGGGAAATGGACAATGTGTCTGTAATAAAAGTTATCATAGGAGCTACTGGGGGAGATACCAAGGAAACTACACAAGAGTCTGGAAAAGCTACAGCTCCATCCAAAAATATACTTGCAGTTGCAAAAAGCTGCACTGCTGGGAACATGTAGGACAGTACGTAGGGTTTTAGGAGATGAGAACCGGATACGGTGAAAAAACCGCTGCAGATCTATTTCCTTACTTTGGTGGTTAGCCTGAGGGAAATATTAATACCTTCGACAGGAGGTAAAATAGTATAAAGTAATAATAATAATAATAATAGTAATAATGAAAATAATAATAATTATAATAATAATAATAATAATAATAATATTAATATAATAATAATAATAATATAATAATAATAATAATAATAATATTAATATAATAATAATATAATATTAATAATACAATAATTATATATTATTACCATAATAATAAATAATAAATAATAATAATAATAATAATAATAGTGGTAAACAGGGCGCAGGTGTAGTGAGGGCTCCTACCCTTCGGAAGCGTCAGGAAGATGAGCCTGTAGCGGGGCCCAGTGGATTGTGTGGCACTGCCTCGCGAAAGGATTCCACACAGAGGCAAGTCCTGGACAAGAGAAGGGATGATACACCGCAACTTCGTGATAGTCACCACACGGAGGAAACTCAAAGTGGACTACTCGAAGTACTGGAAACAAGTATCTCAGCCGAAAAGACCAGGGGTAAAAGAATACCCTGGAGTGAAGAAGAGTTGAGAGAAGTGATGTGGTGTTATCATTACTGTAGGCTTACTGATAGGAATACCTATGTTGCAGTCTATAAGATGTGGAGAAGGCGCAACCCAGACTCCAGACTTAACATCGATGCAAACAAACTGCAAAACCAAAGAAGGTACATCCAACAGAATAAAAGGTTATCAGAAGAAGTCATAAATGAACTGATTGAAAGCATTAAAGAAACGATCGATAGAGAAAAGACAGTAGACCATCACGATGTCGCACAGGTACCGGAAGAACATTTGAAGAATCTGACATGCACAAAGAAATAAAGGACAAATATCTAAGCCTGCCTGATTGAAAAAAGCATATCTGAACGTGACTGTCTGCCCAGAATATTACTAGTAAAAGAGCAAAGCGACTCATCGAGGAAGGCAACTGCATAGTTAGCAACATATTGCAAACAATGGGACAGAAAGACCTAATAAAGATAGATTGCCTCATTTATGCTACAGCATATGTGATTACATCAAAATTAGTAAAACCGACAGCGCGAAAAGAATAGCTGGGACCCCAAAGCAAACACCTAACTGGCAGAGGCGGCTAAGTAATAAAGTTTTGAGCCTCAGGAGAGACTTATCGAATTTAGTTCACATACAAAATGGCAGGCTGTCCGCAGAGTCGGCTAAAGGGAAGATGCTGTTAAACAAATACGTCACAGAAGGAAAAACGCTAATAGAGAAGATAGAGGTAATGAAACAACAAATCTCGGCCACTGCTCAAAGACTCAGAAGGTACAAGAATCGACAAGAGCAGCACAAGCAAAATAGTCTCTTTAATGTCAATCCCAAAGCATTTTATAGGGAGCTGCGAGAAGGAAAAAGGGAACCATTGAAGCTCCAGCCATCTCTACAACTGAAACGTATTGGAAAAGTATTTTCGAGAAAAGTGTTAACCACAACGAGAACGCAAAGTGGCTGAAAAAGGTAGAAAGGGATAGAGCCACAACTATGAGCTGGCAAAATATCAGTGTCGTGGAAGTCAGATCAGCACTGCAGCAGGCCCAAAATTGGAAAGCCCCTGGTATAGACCAGATACCTAATTTCTGGCTGAAACATCTGTGCACACACGAAACAATAACAATGATATAATAGTTACTTCGATAACGGAACAGATATCCCGAACTGGCTGCCAAAGGGTAAAACATACCTTCTTCCAAAGTCTGGAGATAGTAAGGACCCCAAAATTACAGGCCTATCACCTGTCTGAAACCTTGTACAAATTGTTAACTAAAGTGTAGCCAGCAGAATATCTGATTATGTAAATGATAATAAGATAATACCAACTGAACAAAAAGGCTGTGGCAAGGGCTCTCTTGGTTGCAAGGATCAGCTACTCCTCTCGAAAGCCATTGTAGAAGATTGTAAAGAGAACAAAAAAAATCTTAGCATTGGATGGATTAGAAAGGCATTCGACAGCGTCCCGCACAGCTGGCTCCTGAAATCTCTGAAGCTTATAGGAACATCTGAGAAGATCATTGATCTATGTAAGCGATTGATTTCGCTATGGAGTACTACCCTGTTAGTCAGTAATAATGGGGAAGAAATAGAGTTAGGACCCATACAGATAAAAAGAGGTATATATCAAGGTGATACCTTGTCACCTCTTCTGTTTGTGATTGCGATGGTTCCTTTAAGTACGCTGCTCAACGAGGCCAACCTAGGTTACCAACTTAAAGGAGCAAATGATTGTCTCTCCCATTTGCTATATATGGATGACCTGAAGCTCATATCTCCCAGCCAAAACAAACTGAACGTCTCTCAATATTGTAAAAAAATTTAGCGACGACATACAGATGAGCTTCGGTCTCGATAAGTGCGCTGTAGTCACATTCAGGAGAGGAATGCATTATGACTCTGCTAATATAATAGTTGATGAAGGAGAGACGATCAAATCACTAGAACATGGCGGAGTGTACAAGTACCTGGGAATTAAAGAAGGCTCACACATCACCCACGATTCACTGAAAGTTGATATTAGACATGAGTATATAACGAGAGTACGTAAAATTCTGCAAACTCAACTCACGTCTAGAAACAAGATAACAGCAATTGGAGCTCTTGCCATACCAATCATGCAGTACAGCTTTGGTATAATCAATTGGACATTGGATGACATAAGACAAATGGATCGCAAAACAAGAAAACTAATGACAACACATAATCCTTCATCCCAAAGCAGACATCGACAGATTATACGTGCCACGAAAGAAAGGGGGACGAGGACTAAAGCAAATAGAAGAAAACGTACAACAATACTATCTTCTCAGTAGGGCAGTATATTCAAACTAGATCTGAGCAAGACCGCCTACTACAGATGTTACTAGCACATGACAATAGGAAACCAACAAATAGATCTATTGTAAAGCGTAGTAATAAGATCAAATTAGAAGCTGCGGAAGCCGGACATACGGTCGAGCGAGGTAACAGGTCCATCAAACTGTACTTGAAGCAATGTGTCGAAGAGAAATGGCGGAGTAAGCCTCTACACGGACAGCATATCCGTCAAATGGAGGAGCTTCCGGTTGACTTAAGACTGTCATTTGGATGGTTACATACGGAGATTTAAAAGGGGAAACCGAAAGCTTGCTGGTGGCAGCACAAGACCAAGCCTTGAAAACGCGTTACATTGAGCAAGCAATACACAAGACGAGGAATGACGGTAAATGCAGATTGTGTCACATTCATAATAAACTGTTGAACATATAATATCTGCATGTCCAATACTAGCGCCAAAAGAATATACTGACAGGCACAATAATGTCTGCGCAGCCATCCATCTAGAAGTGTCTCGCCACCTTGGTTGTCCAATAAAATCGACGAAATGGTATGAGCATCACCCCGACAGAATAACACGAAGTGAAGATGGTAGTATCACAATAATGTATGACCATCCCGTTATCACGGATAGAGAAATAAAAGCAAACAGACCAGATATTGTTATAAAAACCACCGAAATATGCTATATAATTGATATATCGGTACCTGCAGATAGACATGTCATACAAAAGGAGGCTGAAAAGCAACTAAAATACAAATCATTACTCATAGAAGTGCAAAGAATGTGGCATACAAAGGCAGTTGTTATTCCCGTAGTGATTGGTTCAACTGGATATGTCACTCGCAACATCCTAGATAACCTAAAAAGGATACCAGGAGATCATAATTTCTATCAGTTATTAGGCACATCGCACATAATTAGGAAAGTTATAACATAACCAGCTCATAAAACAAAGATCTGTACCCCTCAGGTCCTCGGCGAGGACCCGGTGCAGAGGTCAAACCGTTCCATATAATACTAATACTAATAGAAAACGGTCCTGTAGCGTGAAAAAAAAAAGATGAAATAATAAAAATAATAATAATAATATAATAAAATATTAAATATATAATAATATTGATAAATAATATAATAAAATAATATAGTAATAATAATAATAATATTATATAATAAAAATAATTAATAATGATATAATAATAATAATAAAAGTATAATAATATTAATATAATAATAATAATAATAAGTATAATAATATAATAATAGATAATAATAATAATAAAATAATAAAATAATAATCATAATAATAATATAATATAATAATAATAATTATTATTAAATAATAATAATAATTATTATTCTAATAATAATAATAATAATTATTACCATAATAATAAATTTACCGGAAATAGAAAATCAAGCGGTCGAGGATGAAGAAGAATTACTGTCTACAGATATTAAGTCCATGACAAGGAAGACCTTGAAGGATAAATGGATACGAAAGCAGCTTCATGGTCAATACGTGAAGAGAATTAAGAGGCCAGGGATTAATGAATGCCAAACGTTTGCGTGGCTCACGAGAGGGAAGGTAAAAGGCCCTGATAACGGCCGCCCAAGACCAGGCCTTACGTACAAGACAAAAATGGTATAATCACAACCCCACTCCAGTAGTTAGTAAAGATGAGATTACCGTAATATATGCCTTACCAGTGCAAACAGATCGTGAGATATCCGCGAGCCGTCCAGACATAATCGTCAAAAACCAACGTGACAAAACCTGCCTGTTAATAGATGTTTCAGTCCCCAACGATGAAAACGTTGTAAACAAAGAAGCTGAAAAGAAATTGAAATACAAAGATCTCTCAATTGAAATCCAAAGGATGTGGAATCTGAGGACGAAGATAGTTCCCGTAATTTTAGGTGCTTTAGGGACGATCCCAGACAATCTACATGAAAACCTAAATCTCATACCAGGAAGGCACAGGGCAGCAGACGTGCAGGAGATTGCTTTTTATGGTACAGCAACCATATTACGTAAGACACTATAAGGTAATGGACTTCGTTAGGATGTGGGTAACATCTTCGAAGTACCATAATGAAAATGACCAACCAAAACCGGCCCACATGGACAGAACCAGTTGAATAGATAGGAATGTGGAAATAAACAAATAATAATAATAATATAATAATAATAATAATAATAATAATAATATAATAATAATAATAATAATAAAAATAATAATAATAATAATTATAATAATAATATAATTACTTTTCATCCAATCCAGGGACATGTGTTTATCTACATTGGTTTTGTGTAGGTTATTGTAGAACTGTCCATGGAGTGGTTTCGATTTTAGGGCGTTGACTTTTTCTGTTCGCATGGCCTCCTTTACTCTGAGTTTCAAGTTGTCCGCTGACTGATCTTCGTTCAATTTGTATGCATATTGTCTTTTCATGGCTTCCCCGATCTTTGTAATGGAGTATTTAGCCTTTTGTTGCTCATGCAATAGCACGAACTTGATGAAAAGTACAGGACTGAAGGCGGAGACTGAAAGTCTACTGATTGCTGCACAGGACCAGGCACTTAACACGCGCTACCATAGAAGAATGGTCCTGAAACAGAATGTCGACAGCAAATGCAGAATATGCCATCAATGTGAGGAACATATAAGCCACATTATTTCAGGCTGCTCAACACTGGCACCAACAGAATACACCGAAAGGCACAACAACGTCGCTAAATACATACACTGGGCTATCCTCAAGCAGCACCAAGTACCAGTTAGCAACAACTGGTATGATCATTCTCCTGAAGCAGCAGTAGAGGCAGACGAAGCATTAATTATGTACGACAAAGGAGTCATTACCGACCGTACGATTTCCGCCAACCGACCTGATTATTTACCATCATAAAACACAGAACACATGTCTGCTAATTGAGGTATCTGTACCAGACGACAACAACGTCAACACCAAAGAAGCGGAAAAGGCCAGAAAATACAAAGACCTCGAAATCGAAATATCGCGCATGTGGAAGACAAAGACAAGAACGGTACCCGTGATCATCGGAGCTTTGGGGACTGCCACTATGTCATTCAAGAACAACATAAAAGAACTCCCCGGAGATGTCTTTGCAACACAAGTTCAAAAGATAGCACTGCTAGGAACAGCCCACATTTTGCGGAAAACCCTTTCCGACTAAAGACCTTAGAACTCAGGCAGAGTTCCGGTCAAGCTCATCCCTTCCTCTAGGAGTGAAATACAGAATAATAATAATTATAATAATAATAAGTATTATAACAATAACAATAATAATTATAATATTATAACAGAAGCTACAACGATGGATTGAAAAACCTCTACATGGGAGACATGCAAACGAGATTAGCCAAGAAAACGTTGACAAGAAAGCGTCAAACTATTGGCTTACCTCAGGCCAAATGTTCCCTGAGACTGAGGGATTCCTTGTAGCTATACAGGACCAGGTCATCCCTACCAACAATTACAAGAGGTTCATACTTAAGAACTTGCAACAGTCTGATAAATGCAGGTACGGCTGTCAGGACTCCGAAACACACGTAACTGGTGGATGCCAAGCATTCGCTCCAACGGACTATAAGGAGCGCCACGACATAGCTGCCAAAATCATTCACCAGGAGTTGGCATACAAATTAAAACTGACCGAATGTAAGCTACAGTACTACAAATATACACCGCAATGTGTCCTCGAGAACGACAAGTATAAACTATACTGGGATCGCACTGTGCTTACGGATCAATACATAAAACAAAACAGACCTGACATAATCATTGTCGACAAGGGCGCCCAGAAAGTAACACTGATTGATGTGGCCATACCTAATAGTAACAATTTAACATACAAAAATAATGAGAAAGTTGCAAAATACAGGGAGCTAGAATTTCAAATTAAACGCCAGTGGAAAATGAAGTACGTGGAAACAATACCAATAATAATGTCATCTACAGGGGTGATACCAAGAAGCCTGCTAGAAAACATCAAAGCACTGGAACTGAGTGAAAACATTCACAAAATCATACAGAAAGGAGTTTTGCTGGCAACTGCCCGCATAGTAAGAAAATTTATGGGAAATGCAAGTACCTAGTGAGGTCACTACTGAGGCTTACCCCTTTGATGCTTGAAACGTCCGGGTTAAGCCAGAACACCCCGATTAATGGGAGTAACAAAGCCCTACGGCTATAAAAAAAAATAAATAATAACAAAATAATAATAAAAATAATAAATAAATAAATTTATAATAATAATAATAATAATGATAATAATATAAAAAATAATAAATAATAATAATAATTAATAATAATAAATAAAAAATAATAATAATATTGATAACAATATAATAATAATAGTAGTAATAATTATAATAATAATAATATTAATATTAATAATAATAATAATAATAATGATAATAATAATTAGAATAATAATAATAATAATAGTAGTAGTTCTTGCGATTATGCAGCATCGACTACTGGGTCATTAGTTGCGTGTCATTATGTGATTCAGTTTTGGTTGAGTGTAATTAGAGTTTCCAGTAAAAGCCCGTGCATTTCAGAAACGATATCGTGCTTTTTATTAGATCAGGCTTTTTCAGATTTTCTGCGAAATCTCTTGACAGACCAAAACTGTATCTAAGGTTGCTTAATGCTGGACATTCTATCATAATATGCATTGCAGTTAATCGTGCCTCGCATGACGGACAATTTGGATGACCTTGGCCCGAGAGTAAGTAGGAATGTGTCAATGCTGTGTGGCCCAAACGCAGTCTATGTATCCGGACGGCTTCTTCTCTACTGATCTTGACGTTAGGTGTCCATTTTGTTACATCAGGTTTTATTGTTCTTAGCTGAGTAGGTTCATTGTTCCACTGTCTTTGCCATGCTTCTGTTATACATTGTCTAATTTTCATTTTCATGTCTGGTGCTATCACTATTGTACAGTCTATTTCAGTTGCGGCAGCAGCCTGCCTTGCAGATTGATCTGCCAGTTCATTTCCTAGTATACCTACGGGTCCTCGTACCCATATAAAGACTACCCTCTAGTCGCCATCCATCAACACCTTTAATGTCTGAAGACATGCTAAGATTAATGGATCACGGGAATAACGATTTGACATAGCATGTAGGGTGCTCAAAGAATCACTGACTATAAGAGTAAGGTTGCTTTTCGACTCTATCTGGCAGTATTTAAGCGCCTGTAGAATTGCATACTGTTCGGCTGTGAAGATCGATGTCATTGCTGGGAGAGTCCATAAATGGGCCACCCCGTTTATGATAATCGAGCAACCAACTCCTGAGGCAGTTTTCGAACCGTCTGTGTAGATGGTTTCGGCACATGTGTACTGTTCCAGGATACCTTGAAAATGAGACCTCAGTAAGTTGTACTGTTGGTGTTTCCTTTTTGTGAAATTTTAACTTTTGCAGATGGGATCTGCCAAGATGGGGTTTCATTTTTGACTGGATAAACTGGCATTTTAGTCAAATTTAGCTCTCGAGATATTTCACAAATTCTCACACTGAGGGGTCTTGTGATAGTAGGCCTTCTATTATAGGTTTCATCATACATACTTAACAGAGAGAAATTCCGATGGTGTGGCGTAGCAGATGTACTGACTTCGTATGAGAGTACGAGTCTTTTTCTCCTTAGAGTTAATGGCTCGACGGCTGCTTCAGCGCAAAGGCTAGCTGCTCTCGTTGTACGGAATGCTCCAAGGCAGCACCGTAGTCCTAGGTTTGGGATTAATTGGCCTTGTAGATAAAGTAGTGGCCCATCATGCTGACGTTGGAGTCTGCAGAAATGTACGCACTTTGTTTTGGTATTTGACAATGTGAAACCACTGTTTATCGCATTTTGGCTTATTTGGTTTATTGCTGTCTGCAAGCTACCAGAAATTTCTTCAATGGAAGGGCCTGATGATAGTATACACAAATCATCGACGTATAGACATCTGTCCACCACCGGATTTATGGACTCGGCAAGTTTATTAATAGCAATCGCAAAAAGCGTACAGCTAAGTGTCGATCCCTGTGGTATTCCATTTTCCAAGGTGTGGACTGTTGCAAGAGTGTTTCCTACACGTACTTGCAAACGCCTGTCTGTAAGGAAGGATTTCAAAAATTTTGGGAGATTTCCTCTAAAGCCCCAATTGTGCAGTTGGTATAGAACATCATATCTCAAGACCAAATCAAAAGCTTTTTCTATGTCTAAACACATAGCTACTGTATGGTGACGGTTTTTAAACCCATTTTGGATGACATTCTCTACATAGACAAGTTGATCCACTGTAGACATATTTTTTCTAAATCCTGCCTGGTAATCAACAAGTAAGCCATTTTTTTCAAGAAACCACGACAGGCGCTCATTTACCATTCTCTCTAATATTTTTCCGAGACAGCAAGTAAGACTTATGGGCCTGTAACTTTCAGGCAAGAGTGGATCCTTTCCGTGTTTAAGAATGGGAATGACGATTGCAAGTTTCCAGTCTTTTGGGTATATTCCTGCAAGACATATCCTGTTGTATATGTTGAGGAGAGTAAGCTTGACATGGAGAGGAAGATGACGGATCATCTCATAATTTACCATATCCGGATCAGGAGCTGATCGATTTGTCTTTTTTAAGGCTTCTTCTAGCTCAAACAGTTGGAATGGCTCATTATACGCTAAAGATACGTCTGTTGAAAAGTCTAGTGGTATTTCCGTTGCATTTTTGGTGGACCTGAACTCGCGACTATAGTTTTCCGAGCTGCTGACGGTAGCAAATGTATCTGCTAGTAAATTACACACCTCATTTGTGCTATTAATGATGTTGCTGTTACAGGTCTGCAGATGTGTGATTTGCCTAACTGATTGTCTACCATACACGGCTCTGACTTTATTCCATACTTCACTTGCTGTCGTTTCAGTAGTAATAGTGGAGACATATTCTTTCCATGATTTTCTCTGGCTTTCTAGAATAAGACGTCGCGCTTTAGCTCTAGCTTTCTTAAAAGATATCATGTTTGATACCGTGCAGTTCCTCTTAAAAATATTAAGTGCACGCTTTTTTGATCTCACGGCATCGGATATGTCAGAGTTACACCATGGTAACCGACGGCCTCTTGGAGATCCACCACCAAGCGGAATGCTGTTCACCGCAGCCTGATGTATCAGCTGAGTAAAACTATGAATACCAATGTTATTATCTTGTACAGG